GTATGTCTTGCAGCTGCACGAGTATGTTATGTATTTTTGGGTGCCATACGCTTTTATTCTCATGTGTATAATATGTGGTTGCAACATTGGCATTTTGATAAAGTTTCATGGAGAGGGTGCCTCACCACCGCAACTAAACAGAGACTCAGAAACAAACAGAAATACGCGCTTAACAAAGACCTTGTTATTTGTATCTTGCCTGGCTTTGATGGCGTGGTTGCCCTTGATTATTGCTAACGCAGTACAGTTCTGGTTTTTTCATCTACGACAAACCGTTTATCATTTGCTAAACCTTTTCAACTACTCCAATTCTTTTATTAGTCCAGTGGTTTATGTATTAAGAATTGCCGAGTTTCGGCAGGCTCTGAAACGTTCTTGTTTCCGAGGACAACCAGCTATGAATAATCTGCTTAATAAGAGAAGAAAGTATAGGCTTCGGCACTCAATGACTCATTACAGACATGAAATGACATCTCGTCAACGAGATCCGATGCATACCAAATTGTACACAACGACAGTTTAGCATAATTTTTATCTTTTCCATGAAAAAAAGAAACCCTGTGAAAATGAAAATTATGTTTGGAAAACACAAGTAGAATACTTTAATGTCGGGAATCGAAGTTGCGATGAAACCTGATAGTGCTATTACTTTCATGTCCTGAAAGGAGGAACGGACAGAGGCGATTTGAACGACGAAAGTCCATTTTGGAACGTTTGACAGAAAAAACGGTAGAAATAATTCTCTCGCGTTCAGGGCTCTTTTATATTTCCGTTCTGTACTCATTTTACATTCATATCAAGAGCTTATTCACCTACTCAAGTTTTCCAAAGAATCTTGGCTTTAACGAATGTATAATTACTTACGCGCTAGACGTTAAGGAATAACACAGATTAGAGAAAGATCCATTCTCTTTCATTGGCTGTTATTTAACAGCGAGCTAGACTTGCTGACAAAAACTGCTTCCCTACCAGGATTTTTTAAACAAAGTTCTGAATAGCTGGATAAAGCTATCTAAAGCGACCGTGGAAAGAAAATCGACCGTGCACTACAACCAGATTTGCTCAATTCGATTTTGGTTCTGGTCTTGGGAAGCGTGGAATCTCTTAAAATTAGAATCAATAAATTTCTCAGAGTGTTTCAGTTTCAGAAACATTGTTTTCAGATCCGAGAAAAGATCCGGTGAGGATTACAAGCGGTTGGTGCGATCAAGCATAGTTGTTATTAGCGATCGTTTATATCTATTGTCAACATGGCTCTGATAATGGAGTAGAAGCTTTTTGTTGGTTTTTTCTCTGCAGACACATGTGTTGAGGGGGTTATCGGTCATGTTGATTACCCAGCCTAAGAAGGCAACCGAATTGGAATTGGTTTTAACACACGTGCCGGACTTTTCATTAGATATCACACTAATTTGAAGTTTTTCTCTGTAGATTATTTTTGATAATTGATATCTCTACGTTCAAGATAAACACAATTTCAAAACACCACATAGTGTATTGTTCATCGTGGTGTAAGATAGGAAATGAACTTTATTCGTTTGTTTTACGATAGAGACACTTTTGACGCCGATCGCGACGTTTCGACTGCGATACTGCTAGTCTTCATCAGGCGATGAGGTCGATTCAACATCAACATCAAAATAAGTGACTCTATTGTCAACATCAAAAGTGACTCTATCGTGAGACAAACGAAGACAAACGAATTAAGTTCATCTCCTACCACATAGTAACATTGTCACTCCAAAGGCTTCCTTTGGGATGAGCTGAAATAAATATTTTTAACTATTATGACATTTATAACCATTTCCTGCCCACAATATTCTGTCGTGGGTTTCTGTTTACGTAGCGCGAGTGCTTTTTATATTTTCAGGCACAAAGGAAGCAGCTGATTAACCAGAACTACAATTACCAACTTCAATTTTAATCTCACTGAATGTGGCAAACTATTGAGATCAATTTTTTAACAACAACGGAAAAGCAGTAAGAGGATGGCAACTGAGTAAAACTCAGATCTTTCAAGTTTTTAGGTAAATTAGGAAAATTTAGGCTAAACTTATGCAAATGATTTAATCAGAATTATGACTTAACTTAGAAGTGTCGTTGGTTATTAGTGAGCAGCTTTGGAAGGGTTGTTTGAGAGATTATTTAACAGTTCGAATAAGCGAACGATTTTTAATTCATCTCAGAAAAAAAATCCTATCAGGAACACGCTGAGGAGATATGTGGTTAAAACGACACAGTCCTAACAATAGAGTCAAAGATATAACAATCTTCAAAGTACCTCAGGACTAAAGAAATATACAGACAAGCTGGAGGATCAACCTAAGAGCCCGTTCACACCACGCCGGAGAGATATGAAAAAGCGAGTTTATCCTTTTGGTTGGATTCTACTGTTCTCACTAATATAGGTAAAACGCTCACCGAAAACAGAGCTTTTCAAACTATTGACGTCATTGCATACTTTTTGGTATTTTTGGTTGGATAATTAGACACTTGTAATGCGCATGCCTAGGGGGATGAAGTCAAGTGTGTCAGCCTCCAGCTATACTTGGGAATTTAAGAAAACCATGACGGCAGCGGCAACGAGAATGTAACAAAAAAAGAGAAAATGAATAGACGAATAGTTCTTCATTTGTGTTTTTAACCTTTGTTCGTCTTCGGGCCGTCCCACGCAAAATAAGATCACAAAATCCTCAAATTTCCCGTAGCCCAAGACCTAAAGTGGTGCAAAAATTTAGAGTGATCGCAAAAAGCCCGTTTTACAATAACAATACTTTTCTGATATTTTGATATATTACATTTACGGCAAGAAAATTTCATGGGCTGTACAATACCGATGTACAATAGGGTGAGACTCAGTGGCTGTTATTTTGATCTGCAATGATAAAGACTGCAGAAAGTTAAGTCCAACTACCTTACTTTACCAAGTCTCTTTCAAAAATGTCACTGTCGTAAATTGAAACGGGATTGACTCCAAACGAAATGTTTAAAGTACATTTTAGTTCACACATTTATTGATTGTTTCAATTCTGCTGGGTAATTCTTGAGAAAATAATTGTTATATCATTTTATGTAAATACGCACGCCGGTTGATCAACATCAGTAATAGCTCTTATGCTGCACATAATTAAAATCGCGTATCAAAAACTTGAGAGGCCACTTGAAGTCGACTAGGATAGCTTGGTAATATTCCAAACTCTTTTACTGGCGTCGAAACTGACATCTCGCTACTTGTCGTTTCAGTCCGTTTCCTGCTAGATACGTTTTCCCTTCTGTTGAAGCACAAACTCAGCGCTTGTCTGATTTCCGGAATCCTTAATACATAGACGATGGGGTTGACAAAGGATCCCGAGAAATTAAGAACGTTTACGACGAATTGAAAAGTTCGGTAGTCGAAATATGCTTGACCAACACCTGAAAGGGTTAAACAGTCGAGTGTAATCAACGGCAACCAGGTTAGCAGTTCAACAAATGATACAAACAGCAACGTTTTTGTTAAGCGTTTGTTTTTCGCGGCTCTGTTTTGCTGTTGCGATGCGACATTTTTTTCGTGAGACTTTCTCCACGTACCGATAGTACAAACGCATACGATGAGTATCTGAGTCAGAGCAACACAAACCCAAAAAGTCACAGTGGCTCTGAATGAAACAAAGTAACTCAATAATGTCCCTATCGCTGCAATTAGGAAGGCCAGTATCCACACCGTTAAAATGACTAACCAGTATGCTCGCGAGGACAACGTTCGGTGCTTAAATGGAAAGTTTACGGCGTAAAATCTCTCACAAGATACGAAAATCACCGCGAGGAACGAGGCTTGCGAGAGAGCTAAATCTACGAATATATAGAAAAAGACTACTCGCAGATTCCTGAACTGGACCAACCATAGTTGATAATAATTCCCAACGAAGTAAGTAATGAACAGAGGTAAAGATACAGCCCCTAACATGAAATCAGCAATAGCCAGGTTAACGACCAGAAGTAAAGTTTTCTTGCGTTGTGTCTTGTTAAATGCAAAAAGCACAATGGTGGTACCGTTTCCGACTACAATGAAGATTAAAACGCAGAAAAATGCGACGCAAAATGCAATGCCAGCTGCCTGGGAAGGTAAAATTGCTGGCACATAATAAAAACTGTTGCTTTGGCTTGTGTTCTTTTCCGATACGTTGTACATATTTCGGATTAGATGCAGCTAAAAGTCTCTCGACGGTAGCAGATGCCTCAGTTTTCCAGCAATTTGTAGTTAGACGAGTTTTGTGCCATGCGTAAGCCATTTTATACGCTGACAATGACTCTTCTGACGCAAGTTTGGTCATTAGAAAGAAAAGAAATAAACTTAATGCCCCAAGGCTTTAAAGTATCAACATCAAACGGAAATACAAACAAAGGAGAACGGTAATCAGTGCAATACAGCTCCTTCTTGAAAAGTTTGCTTTTGAATACTTTAATATTTTGTGTTAAACAGTTTTAATTTTCCTTAACCGTTAACAAATTGGGAGTAAAGTTGCTCCTTTCCTAGCATGATGTATCTTTCATTCATTTACGATGCGGGTGAAACCAGCTCGAAGCCTATCTGGTGAACTACGCCGGATGCAGACTTCCGTTTGAACATCTTTCTCAAATTTGTCATGTTACGCTTTCATTGTTAATGATGGAAAACTTAATCTGGAGCCTACGTATGCATTTTAATTTGTTACACTCCACATCCAGATACACGATGGATCTGTTTCGTTGGGTCTCCATTACAAGTCAAAGATAAAAAAAAGATGCCGTTTAAGATCCAAGACTCGCAATTACGCAAACGGGTTCTACACTATGTTATCCGAAAAAAAAAGAAAAACAGACAATTTTATTGCCAGCGTGGCATGTGTGGTACTGAATTGTTCACAGACATACAAGAAATCAGCATGTTAAATTCCTATATACTCATATTAGAGAAAAAAAATTATAACAATTTTTTTTAATTACACCACCAGTTAATTAACTTCTCGATCCCTAACTGTTTTGAACAACTGTCTAACATATTACATTTTCCAGTATGGAGCAACGAACGGGTCTGAAGTCCGACGCAGGCTCTGACGCAATACGAAGGTCCCTAACTTCATCAATGATATTATCTTGACAGAAATAGAACGTAAGAGTTATCATAAATCAACAAAACGATGTTTGAATCACACATTTTCAATTGTATCTTTACCTAAGTTAAGCTGCTGTGTTCTGAAAATGTGCACCGGATTAAATAATGGTTCGTTACATCCGTCGGAATAAATTGCAGCAGAACATTTCCTGTTTGACTCCAGTTTCCTCTCTTCAAATCTCTGGTTAAAACATCAAGTTCGAAATTTAAAACGTTCTTTCGTCAAACTGTAGAGTCATCATGTTTATTTGGTCGAAACCATCCGCGTAATAAATTTACCCTGTAACATCACAGAGTGAACACATTCTACGAAAGTTCAAATGAGACCAATGTTATTCCATGACCTTGCAATCTTCGAAACAAAGCTAAAAGAATGTGGTACACAGTTTTTAATTTATATATATATATATATGTGTCATGAAAGTTTGTGTGGTGGAACAGAAATAAGTAACTACTATATTCTAGTAAACACTTCTCACATTGTCCTGCATAAATTTTGCGTCCTGAGTATTTATCTATTTTTCTCGCACTTACTGTGCATAGTTTTGTCATGGAACTTTCTCAAATTCCTTTCTGTCAGAGATATAAAATTCTGTTGGCCAGCTTACACTGCAATTCGCACACAAGTGAAATTTCTGAGAATGTCACGGTACTGTGACAACGATCAAGATTGCAAAAGCTATCTATTCCCCCTGATAACGTCCTCATGTAATGTCCTCATGTAATGTCCTCACGTGATGTCCTCATGTAACACTCACAGATTTTGCCGTCAGCCATGTGGAGTAATTTCTCCTCGTCTTGTTGTTGTGGATATTCTTCAGCTCAGTTTGATACTGAGCCCATCGCTGTTGAAGTCTCATCTGCCTGTCTTCTTGGCTAACAAGTCTTCATGAGAGGAGAGAGGAAATATTTAAGCTAAAAACTTTTAACTCTGATGACGAATAAAACTGAAAGGGATTCCATTTAGCGCACTGACATTTTCGGGTAAGGCACAATGTTTTGCAAGAGCTTCCCTCAGGATAGTATATGCCTAACAGTTGTGTTTATTTCACTCCTATTTATTTTCATAAAATATGAAATTAACTGGAATTTATTCTGGAATGATGGCTGCAAAATTTTCTGCGCTTGCGCGCAAAGAAGAGAAATAACAGGCTTTGAAATACTTTGTAATAACATTTGCCTATATGGTTAACCACGCTCCCTGATTAGCTCAAAACATTTCTTAGCCAAAATAGAGCAAAATCCAAAACCAATTGTGTTTTTACTCTGCGTTCTCATTGCCTCCTTGAAGTACTTCTTGGCTTTCACGACAATCAGTCAGCAAGTCCTGTGCTGAGATGATCACCGTAACTATTAATTCAAATTAATGAGGACTCCAAAAATTACGTTTATCAAATGTATCATCGTTTCTCCTGAGTAGAACTAAAGGTAACACACCTTCCCTGGATGAGAGAATGTAGCCTTGCTTCGATAGTATCAGTTTGCTTTGGAGGCGACACCTCAGAGGTTACATCTTCTCTCCAGTATTTTTTCAGGGTAGGGAAGAGTTGCAGATTGTAAGAAAACGGCACTGTTGTCTGAAAAACGAACAAAAAATGTTGCTCTTCAGCGTCATGACAGTTTGACTGGCGAAAAAACAAAGATTTCAACCTTCAGGTAAGGTTTCTGTAAACATTACGATTTAGAGTTTTAATTCGGCTGACAGTGAAATGAGTGAATAATATTCATCATTAAAAGGTGCTAGGCAATGTTTTTTTGGACTGTGACAGCATCATCAATTTGGAGGCACAGTCAGACAAGAACGTTCGATAATTGCCCAGTGCATGTTTAACAAGGAGATTCTATCTATGTTGTCCTGTATCTCTTCACTAATAGGTCCCATGACGTCAAAATGTGGTAAGGACAGAAAGTGAGCACACAAGGTACAGCCGATCATGTGACTGTTTTGGATCATACACTCACCTCTCTGTTCAACGCTTCTTGATTCTCTCCATTACTTTGCGCACCAATCAAAATTAAGACCTTGCCGTTAGCACAGATACATGGCAGCTGTGGTGAGAGCAGATAAGACTCGGGCAGCCCAACATGACATATTGCTGTACAGCTACAAACATCGTACATAGTAATTCGTCCACTCATTACAACAGCAGCAACCTAAAAAAAAAAGCGTTCCGTGAAACATGACTGTTTCGAGCTGCATCACCAAAAGACCCAACCATCCTAAGCACTGTGAATACGGTAACAGGTAATGTCGCTCCCTTACACGGTCGCTCCAAGTCCCTTCGCCCCCGAGAGAAGTTACGTAGCCCCGAAGTGTGGTCAACGGTCGCAATGTTGCAATTGCTAAGTTCCTAACTTAGAGCGACTTCATATTGTTAGCTTTTTGGACACGACCGTTGATTGAAGGTTTTGATAATCAGGCCGTTGAACCTCAAAGCTTTGAAACTTATGTCAAAATATGTCTAAATCCTTAATGAAACTAAAGAAAAAGTTGACGGCGACGCAACCATACTTCGAGGCGATGGAACTTCACCTGGGTTGACGGAACTTGGGGCGTCACCGCACAAAGGAGAAACGTCACCTACAACCTTAAAAAACCACTACGTTTGAGTTGTTTCCTTACCACTTGTGGTGTCTGAGACATATTGACAACATTGGTAATGACCTCCTTGTCTACTGCAGATCTGAAAGAAGACGGCAAGCAAATCCTGTTTTCATCCATTTGGTTCAGTTAATGAAAGAAATATCTAAACTCAATTCTTGAACTTACACTATGTACGTCTGATTCGTTCATGCAGCTGAAACATCTTCAATTACATATCCATTATGTCCCAAATTCCATTATCAAGTTTTGTTATTTTTTAATGAGCTTACAAAATTTCATGACTATTCGTGACCTACACAATGACTATTCAGATAATTTTGGCAGTAAAATGCGTTTCGTAGAAACGTGTTTGAAAATAAAATCTTGTGAACGTACCTGTCCTCGAGGGGTTTAGCTGAGTGTGACAGAGCAACTCCACATTGCAGGAGACAGAATGTCCCATCATCACAGCTTACAATGAGATTGGCACAAGATGATGCTGATGATGGCGATAAATCATTACCCTGCGTTGTGATGAGGCCTTCATTGCTTGTCAAAAAGCACAGGACAAGTATTCTTCCTTTCTCAGTGATGGGACAGACCCTCAAAAGAGTGCCTACAGCACAAACAAAATGGACACTGTTGACATTCCATAGCATTCCAAACCTCTGAAGTGTGATGTAAACGTTTTGTAAGCCACTACAAACTTTCCTAAAATGCCGGTTACATAAGCAATTGGCCCAGTGAGTCAAAGGGCGGATAACGCTATCCAAAGGATAAATTGCTATCCAGCGGATACGTTTTAACAAAACGAACAATCCACTACACTCTCCATTGGACAGAGATTTATCCAGGGGATACCATGGTTTCCCCTTTGAATAACCAAGTAATGGTGAATAGCCAGCGACCTAAGATCTTGGATGACTGGATTCATGTTGTCTTAAAATTTAAAGGATGCTTCTGTTTCAGTAGTCTGCTATTGCAGAACGAACAAATGAAAATCTGACGTTATGTAATTTGCAAAAATCTCTCTATTATCAGCACTACTTCACTGGCAGTAGTATGCCTTTTTTCTCACCTCTATAGACATCCCAAACAACAACAGTTCCTGTGTTGAGACCCAAAGCCATAAAGCAGCCACATTCACTGACTGCACTAATGATAATCTTTTCTGAGTGAGGCCATACTATGTCTGGCTTGTGTTCAAGATCTTGGGAAGACAACAAACTTGCTTTAACATTTAAACTCATTTAACATATCTTAAGAATGAAAACTTCCAATATCTGCACTGCAGAAACAATATAAATGCTGTAGGCTACTTTTCTCATTGCATTTTCTCACAAGCTTTTGAGTTTTCCCACATTAAGATATCTGTAAATACAATAGAGTGTGTATTGGCAACCATTATAAAGCCACTGTAACCTGGATAGTGCTTTACATTCAAGGAATGTCAGCTACACTGAAGATTTGACTTAAAAAAGGCTGCAACAATAAGACCCTTACCTTTAGCATTCTTGACAAGTGAATACATATATAACTGAGTACCTCCTGACCACCACACTGCTAAGGAGTTAACTTTACCTTCAAAAAAGACAATGAGCATAAACTAAATAATTTCAGTGTACTTTGCTATGATCTTAATGATCTAAAAAACATTGGAGACTCTTAAGCAAGGTATGTTCATCAATACAAACACATCATTGGCTTACTAGGTGTAGACTCCAATCCTGAAGGAATTAACCTGCTAGGTGCCAAGAAGTGTAATCTTGGGAAGCTGCAATCAATATAAAAACATCTTTTTTAATTGTAACAATTACAGCAACCACACCCAAGTTTGACTCCTTCAATGGCAAAACAAGTACTGAGATGAATAAATGGCTGACAGTTCCTAGTTAAAATATATGATATAGACAGCTCCATTCATCTGCTGTGATTGAGTTTGATTGACATCATACTTTGTAACATCATGGTGTCCTAATGCATGAACTATCTATATACAAATTTCAAACTTACATAGTTTTCATGATTACTTAGGCCAAAGGGGCAACTATCTGAGGGAGGACATGTTACTCATAACATTATTACATGTATTAGCTCAACTGAAATATCATGGTTCACATTTGACACAGAAAAAAAACAAACAAACAATGCAGAAATTAATAAAGAACTATTCATAACTAAATTAATTAAAAATTTCAGACCTTGTCAAATCCTGGTCATCAATGTTCAGATATTTCAACTCCTCCTTGTGAAGCTGCTGGAATGCTTTGTCATAATTCTCAAAAAACTGCGTCATTAGCACATGGCTTGAACCAGTACCAATGACATTACCCTCTGCATCAGTAGCTTTCAAGGCTGCTGAACAGTTAGTGGCTGCACAAGGGCCCACTGGAGCAGGGGGTCGCACTCGTAATACAGCTGCTGGTTTGGTGAAGGAGATAACTGACAGGCCAGGTTGATGCTGTCCTGCCTGAGCTGAGCTTGGTCTTGACCCTGAAGGTGACTATCAGAGTAAAGAGGTTAGTAACAAAAACCTGGAAAGATGCATGTCAATCCTTGTTTCTACCGTAAAGAACCAACTGTATAGAGAGGGTTCTATTGACAACAAATACAGTGTAGGTAATTGCTCACTAAATTTAGCAGAGTGCATGGACTGTACTGAAAAAACTTTAAGATGAGCAGTCTCATATCAAATGTACACTAACCGTTCCTTCAGGTGGCTCTTGATCCTCAGTGGATTTAAGGAGCTGTTCTGCTGCAGCAATTTCCTCCAAATCCTGAAATGAAAATAATCAGGGCCATGAATAGCATACTCCCCTGGGTAATTCATAATTTTAGCAGCAACAGGATTCTTAAACATACATGTATATGTATCTAACAGAGTCAGAACTGAGAGTTGGAGATTTCCTCAGGAAGAAAGGGTGCTTAAGACTACATTATTTGAAGTACTGTTCAAGAACTAATGCATTCTTTGAAATGGCCACATTATGCACCCTCTTCTGGCATATTTAAACCACAACTCTCTGCCAGATAGTTAATGATTGTTTTGCAAGAAATCATAATAATTATCACAAAGTAAGGAGAAGCAAAAGTGTCACCATGCACTAAAAATATTACTTTCAATGTCCAGCTGAAATTTGCTTCACATGAGCATGAGAAGGAAAAAATTTTTTCAAGAAAACATCCTTAAGACTCACTGGTGCGGATGATTCTGCTAATGTTGGTTTCCTTGAGCGAACTGCAGCTGCCATGGCTGTTTCCAATTCCTTGATCCATGTCTCTCTGGGAATTTTATAGATTTCCACCCAACTCTCTTTCATTGGAACTGCACCATAAATGAACATGAAGAAACATAATAATTTTATGTACATGTAAGTTCTCAGTCAAACACCACACTATTGCAAACTCTTTCAATATTTTTTCATTCTGTAGCTCTGCCAAGACAAAAATGACCTCAATGTTTGGGTTAAATTACAGTTTTTTCAGCACATGTTAGCATATTTCAAAAATGTTCAAGGGATCCTAAGAAAGAACATGTCCCATGATGAGAAATTGCCACTTACAATTTTTCAAAGCTTCTCTTTAATTATAAAAACCCCTCAATAAGGTCTTTTCCTAGTTTTAACTGAATTTTTATCATTTTTTGTTGAGTTACCTTTCCACCCAACTCCAATGTATCCCCCATCTTGACTTATGTCAACAAGGGTTACCATGGCCTGCTTGCTTATACCTTCCTAAAGAGGATTGACATAAAAGTAATTTATAATACAAAGTCATTACCTTACTAAGAACTCAAAATTATTTGTTCACCTATTGAAAAGCAGAAATACTACTGAATCTACTGGCATTTTGAAAGTTTTTATTTTTCGTGATTGTGGTTTTTAGTTTTCACTTGTCATTTAGTAGTAAATTGAAGTGTAACTGTTCAACTATAAAATTCAAAGAGTAATTAATGTCATTATGATGAAGAATCTAGTTGGCTACAACAGCGTTCTCCCTTATTTTAAGCATGACAGGTAAAATAAATTTTCAAACCAGTAAAGCAATCCTTTTACAAGATGAATTTTCAAGAATTCCAAGCAATTTTAAACGGTAATAAGAGGTACTACAGGTGGTAAATGTTATCGGTTACTGCATGAAAAGGAGAGCACTGAACAATACACAGTCACATACCGGCTCATTGAATGTTCTTATGAGATGAACCTTATCTCCAGTGAAACAGAAGAGCTTGGCACATCCTAAGTATATGGAATGAAGTCAATACATTTGACTAAACCGCACTAAAAGCTCACTATTTTATGAAAAGTAACTAAGTTGAAAGAAGGATTAAACGACACGACTCTCTTCTGTTTTTTAGGATATTACAGTTATTATATATGTATATTTGAACTTTTCTTATAGTATGCGTTTCATCTGAAAAAAAAAACCATTTTCAAGCTTATCATGATTAAGGACACTGTACATGCACATGCAAGGTAACAGAAGCTTCATACCTACATCATCCAAGGTTGAAATCAGAAAACATCCTTCCTGTAGGCAGCAGGCTGACATTTGTACAGTGTTATCTTCTAATTCTTCGTAGGAAGCAACTATAGTGTCTAACAAACTGTCTACCACTAAAAATCTATTAGTATTAGAAATAAACAAGTAATTTCCTTCGGCGGCCGTGCAAATGCAAGTCGTCCCGTTGTACTCAGACAGCTGTTTTGCAAGGTCAAACAGTGGCAATACCGCTTTGGAGCGCTTCAATGCCTTTCGTTCTTCAATGCATTCAATACGCTCCCAAGCAGCGTCGAAAATTTGCCTCAAAGTTTTGTCAACAAGTCGGAATGGTTGAGGCAATTCATCGAAAATTTGATCTGGATCCACAACAAAATTGTCATCGACTTCATCTTCCGAAGGAGGTGTTGTTGGTCGCTTCGGTTTCTTAACACGCATTTTTAAAAGTCTTATAATTCAAATGTTTTACTACTTTTCTCAGCAACGTGGTTGTTTGTAAGACATGAAAGCCTTTCCAAGATCTTGTTTATCCGCCATCTTGGCTTTCCTTGACAACGAAAAATTGCCCAGTCTCTCACGAGATCAATTGTCCGCGACCCAATTTTTCGTGGAAGGTCAAAGGTACGCGAGACAGGACAAGTACTGAGGACACGTAGTAGTACGTAAGTCATTGATCGAACTTTTCAGCTTGAGGCAGAGCAATTTTTCAACTGTCGGGGAAAACATGGATGTAGTCGCTGCAGTGGTAAAGTACAATCAACAAACGTTAGGAAGGGATAAACTGTGTCGGTAAGTGAGAATCAAGCGAAGTTGTAACTACTTTACGTGTACTAGTTACAAATGGAACAAAAAATTATACAATTTTGGTGTTTTTTATCGATAAAATATTTTCTTCGTCGTAGATTGAAACGAATTTTGGTATTTAGAAATGTCGAATTATATCGGTATATTAAATTTTTAATGAATTCAGTAAATCTGTCTTTTGGTAAGCCATAGTACATAGGGGAGATTATTTGCCATCGCTATGGCCATTAATAAACACGTGGTATAATTTGAAGCAGTGTCATTGTACTGACGTCAAACATACGTACAAATGTTGGCACTTATTTCACGGTGGAGCAATTTTCTTGCATAGTTTTTTATACCACCCATGCACGAGATAAATTCTAGTGTTTCATTTACGTATGCCTGTCATGGGATAATAATCTGTTTGTTTTGAACAATCATGTGTTGATGAGAACGAGCATTGAGGGGGTCGCGTTATTCAAAGTCATGCAATCTTTATGTCATTAGAGCATGACAGCAACATTTGACTCTGAATTTGCTCTCCTTCAAAGCGAATACTAGCGATAAGTAGAATTTGATTTCTCCCATAAAATTCTTGGCGATTTCAAAAGATCACATAACGTGTACAGGCATTGACAGATATAAGATATATGGCTGACCATTCTTTGTGTAAATTGTACAAGAAGTAAAGTTTTCTTAGGCATCGCATCGCAGTTATTATAGTTATGTTTTTTTGTGTGCAGCCAGATAACTCTTTAACAAGCGTCCTATTCTATTTTCTGATTATCTGTCGAGCATTCTGATGTTTTCTTCTGCATTTCTAACTATTGTGCAATGCCACACGTGGATTTAGATTAATTATGCAGTATTAATATTTGGTAATATTGTGAAGTTGTCATGAACACGTATCCAAGAAAATACATCATAGGTGAAAGTGATTGGTAACCACCACAGCCCACCACAAGTCAAAGTCCATATATCCATGAAAAACACAATTGAACCCCTTATTTTGAATAAATAGTCAATAAAATATTTGATTTCTATATCATTTCACTTTTTGGTTGTTGTCACCAGGATTACCATTTTGTTTTAGAAATAAATATGTTAGTTCTCATTCTTTATTTTTGTTTTAAGTTCAGATGTTGCTTTTAATTAAAAAAATGTTAATTCTTGCCAAATGTGTTAGAGAAACCAAAATCATTTTGATCAATACTTGTGAATTTCTTGTCATTAGGATCATCCAGTATGCCTCAAGGTTGTCCAGTTATCTTCTTCAACAAGGTGGCGCAAGTGTTGATTGGGTGAATAGGGCAAAAACACTAGATAAACAGACAAGCACCTCAAGGAAATGTAAGGAGATTTTTAAGATGAGATTAATTAATATTAGGGCTTTAGTCAACCAGAGACTGCTTGAACTTTGTACAGGTCTACAGGGGGCTTTCCTTTTCAAATTTAGTAGCAAAAGAGAAAATTTGAAGTGGCAGAGAACATGGGCAGCAATCCATTCAACATCCATTTCTTTCATAATATCCTTTAAAACAAGGAAATTTTCATTTTGACCATTATCGCAAAAAGATTCACAGACAGCAAATAATGCCAATTAGTAGCCAAAATTTAAAATTTTTTTAAGTCATATAGTTTTTCCTGTTTACCATGACTTTGAAAATCAGAAAAACACTGATGTCACTTGTACAATTTCTTTTTCAGTATTTAGGTTGGGAAAGAGTTTGGACATGATAATTGGTGCAATTAGAGCTAAGGACATCCATCATGACAACATTCTGAAGGTCCTGATCATCTGCCGACGAGCTACATTAGCCCTGTATTATATCATTGATCACATAACTTGGGCTGCAAGATTGGGACTCTATAAAGCTACCCCAAAGGATTGGTCCAAGTTTCAGGCAAAATTCTGGGCCATTGCCCTTGTGTTTGGCCTTCTAAGAAACCTGTATGAGATCTTGAACCTAATTTTTGTTCCAATTAAGAAACATGATAGTGGAGAAGAAAGCAATTCGCAAGGAAGTTCTGTTACATCCCGGCTGATGACCCGTCCCCAACTTTTTCTTGACACAGTCAAGAATTCAGCTGATTTCCTGTTGCCTTTCAATGTTATGGGTGTAATTGAGTTGAATGTTGGTTTGGCTGGGTTACTGGGATTAATTTCATCAATTGCAGGTGCAATACCTGTTTGGAATCCTAACATGAAATTGAAACCTTCTTAGAGATGCAATTGGATGATTTGATGTAGTGTACTTGTGATCAAGGCTGACAACTGGCTACACTATAGAATTCTTAATTTTATCAAGGGGGAATTTTTTGTACTATTACACTGTTATCTGTGAGTGTAGTGCATTTAGTTGCAGCGTTAGAGAGGCAACCTTTCTTAAGGAAACAGTTGTCATTATACTCTATACCGCTGTATTTTAATATATATAATTTAATTTGTGCCATTAATATTAGTGAATACAGAATTTGTTTGAAGTGACCCATGCCTAGCAGCACAACTCTATCATGTAGCTGAAATAATTTTTCTGATGACTACTGATTTATTCTTTTTTACCCTTAAGAATTGGCCAATCTTCCTGAGATGTCTGGGGAATCAAGAATTACTTATTAATAAATGCATGTTGGTAGTTGTATTTTCAATTTCAAATGATAGGCCAGAGTAAGAACAAAAAGCTGATGACAGTGAAAAACATCTGTTGTGAACACTAATATATTTTCTATACTATTTTGCTTTGAACTTGATGGCTTGTTGTGTAGGTTAAAAAAAAATATATGAAAACCTAATGAAATCAACTTTCCATAATTTCTTTTTCCAGCACTATGTTAATTCTTGTTAAATTCCTGTTCCTCACAATGACACAAGCTTAGGGAAATGCTGTCTCAGCAGAGGGACATGCAAAATGTTACAGAGCCCCAAATATGCAGAATGAAAAGCTCAATGTCCAGAAAAAGCAATTATTTTTAAACCAGTATTGTGCTTTGGAGCACATTGGGGAAGCACTCCTTTGAAGTAAACACTTTCACCTAGAAATGATTGCTTGCACATCCATAAATGTCAAATCTCAATTTGAATATATAAAGATGAGTGATCTTTGAACTTCTATTTACATTAAACTTTACAATCAGCTTGAAACTCAAATATGTTTTGTCCTAATTGGAAAAATTTTTAAACTCATTGCACAATGTTTTTGCTATAAAATGTTATAAATAAGTTCATCAGATTAATTATATAAATTATTGTTTCTACACCTGCTTTTAGAATATCAATGTATTTATCATACCAAACAAACACAATTTGTGTGAAGAAATAACAAATGAAAACTATTATAAGGAAATATGAAGGTAAATCCTAGTTTTCCTCAAATCTCCTACTCAACTCGGCAGTGACTATTGTGATAAAAATTATCTTCGACCTATATTTATTGTATAGTTAGAGATTAGAATTCTCTATTATTCTTTATTTGCAACAGTGCTCATTGCATTTTAAACCATTTAAGATGACCATTATCGCTTTTCAATATCAGCCTTCCCGACATGAATACATTGTCAGTCATTTGAAGCAGTACAAAAAAAGTTTCAGCAACAAACGACAACCAAAAGATAGCTGAGAATCCGCTTCTGTCAATGCAACTGCAGCAGTTAAAACTGCTTGCCATTAATTTATTCCTTGAAGATTAAAACTGCTTGCCATTAGTTTATTCCTCGAAGGTTTCTTTGTCACCCCAATTCTCACAAAACGAATATTGTGAGATCAAGAATCCATCTCAAAGCAGTTTGCTATTGACAATAGTTTCTCTAACTGAGAGCTGCCTCCATTTCACTGTACCATCTCCCCCACAAGAGAACAACTGTCCATTGTGGAGGTTCATAAGAGCCACACCCTGAGTCCCGTACTTGAGAAGATAAGCCCCTTTGCCATGTTCTTTTGGGTAACACTCTAACTCTTCATGTACTGACAAACCCCAGACCTGAAATGTGAAAGCAATGCTATAAAGTAACGGTACAGAAGTGACTAAGAACGAAAACAAGCAATCCCCGTGAGTTATTTACAGAGACCTGAACTTTCTGTTCCAATTAAGATCAAGATAATTTCCACAACCAACCAATTACAATGATTGTCTGGTTCTTCAAAATTGTGCGCGCGCATAGCTGCTCCGATGGACGCGAACTGTATCAAAACGAGCAAAAAGGGATACTGGTAACAACCAATCTAAGGTCTAATCATAAGCTAATGATGATTACACAATGATAATTCTAAATGTCTTTCGCCGCGACGGGTAAAAAGTAAGCTACAGGCTGTAACAAGAACAAATTGATTTCAAAAGTAAACATTTTTCCCGTGCGCTTGTCTCATTAAAACACGTTTGTACTCAAACCAAGTTATTCCGTTTACGGATACCTTAATATCGCCATCTTCAGAGCCTGAAATGAAGAATTCTTCATTTTCATCCACAACTATGCTCTTCACTGGCGCATCATGAGCTAAAAATGTGTGTCGCAGTTGACGTTGTCGTAGATCAAATATACCTTACAACTGTTAAGGACGCTCATTTTAGTTTTCGAAACCTTTCATAAGACATTCATGAGGAAAACACAAAGAGAGGATATGGACAAAAAGCAGGAACAAAGTATAGCGGTAGAGGAAAAAACTACCGAACCATTAAATTTTAAATATAACATTCCTTTTCTACGAAACACCACCATTTGCTCAGTTTAAGTCTGAGTGAATCACGGCTCAGATTGCCTGATCTAACAGCTTCTCTGTAAAAGTTCACTGAAGTGATGATCTCGCTCTCACCCAACCCATCTCTAAGGAGAAGGCTGAGCCGGCGATGAAAGGAAGTAAACAGTAGCTTTAACGTTTTTCGCGAGTTACTTAAGGATACAAATATTTCCTTTACGTCCTCCCGAAATGAGTAGTTGCTGACCAGGAACGTGCGCAAGACAGGGCGCTCCATTTTCATGACAAATGAATGCTGTCGAACAAGGATTAAAAGAGGAAAACTTTATCAAACGCTCCGATTAATCAAAAACTGCATCTGTGGTGTTAATTTACATGTAAGCATCCCAGTCTCCATCGAAAACGCTGTTTGGTCTCGTCACGCGTGCGCAGGAAAACACTTGTAACCAGGCTAGTCACACTTGGAGTGACCAGCAGGTTCTGATTGGCTGTGACGTTCGCGGCAATACTTTTTTTTCTTTTTTGGGTTTCTGTTTTGTTTATTTGTTTTTTACCAAATTACTGATCGTGTATTGATCTTGTACTGCTCACAAATGCGAAAAAAGATACTTATTCTCAAAAAATTAATATTAAATGAGTCTTACCATGAACAAGTGAACTGTGCTGAGGGACTAAAGTATCCCAAAGGCAAACATTGCTGAGAGGAAGAAAAACAATTCCGTAAATAAGCTACAGCAATCTGTAAGCTGGAAAGGAAATTCTAGAAAACCTAATCGATGCCAGGGTACAGCGAACTGAAACGTATTTATACGAAGCTTCAATAGTAACAACAAAACTGCCAAAACCAACGTAATTGTGAAGCTTACCTTCCATCCGAGGAGTGTCCTGCCGTTGCTATAAAGCTCGAGGAGCCAACGAACGCAAAGTCGTTGGTCTGTTTATTGTGACACTTTAGAGTCTGGAGTAATTAGAGAAAATTGAGATTAGCTATCGACGGTTAATGTTCATGTTTTTTGAGTCGCATGTAGAGCAGCAGGTAGAGCTGTTAACATAAAAGTCTTACCAGAAAAGGATCAGCAGACGTGGATGTACTACTAACTTGCCATAAAAGCAACTGACCACTGGCATCTGAAATTCCGACCTGCAAAACACGCAGACAACAGAGTGGTAACAACAAGTCTGTAAGTGGGACGACCGTGAAAGATTTCATGAAAGTTTTCAATGTCTCATCAAAGATGGTAAGTCAATTTTCTTTTAAAATTTTCATGGATGTTTATCACTGAGTGTATCATTCAAATGGTGAACCTCTCACATAAAATTATAAAGCCTGAAAAAACTGCAGGTAATCATTACCTGCAGTAATGATCAAAATATTCAACATTCCGCGAGGTAAAATATTGGTATTTATCCAGCCTAGCCCATGAAATAAGCAAACTATAACAAAAAGCGGCCAAAAGCCAGACCATCAAAACCTTCAACTTCCAAAATTCCTCAAAGTGAATTGGTGATGAGATGAGATAATTTTGCCGGCAAGGTGTTCATTTAATATAACAGGAAATTCTCTCAACTTATCTACCAGGAAATGTGTTGCAGCTCGAAGGGAGAATTACGAAACAGATCCTGAATATACCTTGTTTCCATGCGGACTGAACCGTGCTCTCGTCACTCTTTGATACGAACCAGATGTACGATGGGATGTGATCTCCTGCGCATGACCAAACTCCCACATACGAATGCTTCCGTCTTGAGAGCCGGAGATGTCTATGCGACGAAAAAAGATCAAACACATGTCAGGTTTAAATTCTAAGACAGTAATAGAAAATGATGGCAGCTTCTGTTTAAACTCACAGTAAGGGAGATGAGGGTGAGAATCCATCCGTTTGACACCATGCACAGTTCTCCTGAATAGCTGCAAAAATGAGAAACACGTATATAGTTTTCAGCGATTCTTGACACAAAATTAGAACTTTCTCTCTGATTGCATTTTTCCTGAACTTCGAGGCATTTTAACGTTAGGAGTTCCAGCCGCTTGGAACATCACTTCTCCTCCCCACCGATTTAAAGTAGCAAACTACTACATGTTGGAACAACATTGTTACTCCTCTATTGTTTTTTAGGAACGTCGCCCTCTCTCCTCGCCATTCGTAACTTGTATCAACAGCGGAGCAAAATCTCTGACAGAACACTCAGCAGGATCGATGAAAGAGACAGCACTAACCACTGTGCCTGAGTGAAGAGACTGTCCACCTGGCGTACTCTTCTGAGGGCTGATGTTTCCAGTTTGATTAAAATCGGACTCATCACTAAATGAAACAATGGAAAAAAAAATGAAGTAAACGATTAAAAAGATTCCAACGGTCAGGAGGTACTGTAATAATATGTGAAAACGGGCTTAACTGTACAATATGTTTGAGGAAAAAATCGTAAGAATTGCAGTAAGTAGAAAGCAAAGGGGCATATTGGAGTATCATTGTCTGAGCTTTCACTACAGCGACCGCATAAGAATGTGCGTGCTCGGGTTGAGATTAATGTACTTAAACAACACAAAGAAAATTATTAAAACATCTCGAATTAATAACTTGCAGCTTTTTTAGGCAACAATGAACTGAAGAAAGCCTTCAGATCCAGTAAAGAAATGACTGCTTTTCCACCACACCCATCCGACACAGTCACAAGCGATATTGAGCTACAACATCTTTATGTAAATACGTCAGCTGAGATTTCTAACTTCTCTCGCAGGCGTTGACAACACCTCCTTGCAATCAGCATTAAATGAACACTGCTACATAACCTTTCAAAAACTTAACAAGACTGCGTAGTTTAATGAAAATACCTTCTTCGCTGAGCGTCACTCTGTTCGCGTTCAACTTCATCTTCAGCCCACAGCAGAGGTTCAGGACTTAACACGCGAGAAATATCAACCTCTTCTACATCCTTGAGACTCCCTACAGCGATGCAGTTTGGATTTGCCTACAACACAAAGTTAAAAGATTATATTTAAGGCCAGCATCTTAGGTTACTGAGGCTGTATCTAAGCTGATAGACGAGACTGTATCTACCACAGACAACGTAGGTAGCTGTATTAACATAGTAGATGGCTATATATATATTGTAGACAGAGTAGACAGTAAATAAATTTGTCCATAGCGTAAATAAAGTATCAGACGAAGTGATCTTATGCTTTTCTAGCATGAATATACACTCCAACATCTTTAAAGAAAACACTACCACACACACACGCGATAATTATACGCACCACTTGGTAGCGAGCTTATAAATAAGTTGATGTCTGAACGTGAACATGCTAATCGCACGTGCAACATTAGTTCGGTTGCCTTCCTATGAGCGGTCATATAGCAATTGAACCTCCATGATGTAAAAGAGGACCCGAAGACTATAAAGTATAGTGATACCTTGTTGATGCAAAATGTGTTGATACCCTCTGGGTCTTTATACAAAACTTTCACAGGCTTTGCGTCTGATACAACATCCACGTGATCAAACTAGTACATAGAAGACAACAGCGAAAATATGATTTATAAAGAAAAAGGAAAAGTAACCGCAGTACTGGCCTGAACTTCAACTTTGTTCAAGTCCTATTTAGCAATAAAGCTTACGAACTTTCCACTCGGTCGAGACAATTTTGTCCAGAACAGAAAAATCTCAGTTTGGATATTATGAGTCCAAACATTTTCTCGACATTTTTAAACAGACGTACAGAAGGGATGAACCGTCTTCTTATAACTCGAGAAAAAAGGTTCGAGGAGTATACCTCTTCCATCGTCGTCATGTCATTCTTGAAGATATTCTGTATGAAGATCTCCTGTATAGCTTCTTGATGTACCAAAGTTCGCCATAACCGTTTAACAGGCTCTGCAGAGTTACGAGTGGATCTACAGGAGAGAAATATATCCAGTTACAAAAGTGGCAGGATGTTTGTCGGTCTTCGTTTGTTTGATCGGTATTGTTTCGTTTGTTCGTTCGTTTGGGCGGTCCATGGTTCGGTCAGTTGGTCAGTTTTCAGTCGGTCGGTTTACTCAGTCGTCAGTTTATTTGTCTGTGGGGTCATTGGGTCGTTCCTTTGAGACCGCCCCTGATTAAATATTCTTTATTAATACAGTTAGAGCCATGTTTGTTTATACAGCTACAGGCTAGAGAGGTGTGGCACGGAAGCCACGACATCACTGATATTGGTTTTACCTAAAAGGAGTATTTTGTGGATCCATCAGAGCCTTGTATCTCATTAAAGCTCGTCCACCTCTTGGAAATCCATCTTGGCTTACAGGGAACTGTGAGATGAAGTCAGGGGGAGGTCCCTGGAAAGTCTCGAGTTTGTCGAGGAAAGTTTGGGTCCAGCGCTCCACCGTCTTCAGAGCCGCATGTAACTGAGGTGATAGAGAGGGTAAATCTGAGGAAAGAAGCCGAAAACAAAGCTTGAAATATGTCGGTGACCACCATAGAGCAAAAATAAACTAATTAAACTAAAGTGTTAACATTCTACAGCGAATTTCAGAACATTGACTTAATCTTACCGGTTAGTTCAAATCCCACATCTGGCAGAAAAGATTGTAAATTAGTGAGCACCAGTTTGCCAATGGTGTAATTCATGAGACACCAGCCATAAGATTCAGGATCTAGGTGATCACGTGCTTCAGTTTTCTTCCTTCGTCTGGTTGAGAAATACTCAAGATCACTTTCAGCGTCACTTTCAAACAAGTCATCATCTTCCGAGTCGCTTGCATCATCTTCAGAATCGTAATGTTTCACGCCTTTCTCTCCAATTAGTGGGGGCTGAAATATTAACAAAAGTATACCACAAGGCTAATTGAATAATGCATGTCTAGTTAATTGGTGAATTCGAATAGCTCTTGAGGAATTTTATCCGTGAACTTTCAAACAACTAACGACTTTGTTAATAGAAAACTTCAAAACAATGTCATCTAAGCAACTGCGCACCTACCCCTCCCCTAATTAACCCAACAACAGTCAACTGATAACAAGCTGAGGTTTCTGTTGGGTTTGGCGAAGGGTAGATGCGCAGTGCACAGATACTGACAATGATCACGAAACTTCAAAGACAATACGCAAAAGCACTTACAGTTACAAAAGATAAATAGTCAATACTCAATAATCGATGATTGATGAACCAAACAATTACTTTCAGTACAAATGTAGAGCACTCACACAATCATGAAGCACTGCTAGTACTCCTCTTGGTACACAAAATTATTAATAACGAAATACAATACATGGAAATAGGTTAAACAATTATTTGCAAATTACTTATTGTGGGTTCACTGGACAGACCAATTCAAACTTAACGATGTAGCAAAAAATCATGGCGCGCACCGTACCTTGCTGATAAAGTACTCCATAAGAGTACTTCTTGGTGGAATGAACTGCTCAACGTAAACAGGTTTCACATCAGTTGACAGCCACTGAGACATGGTTTCTGTCAGACTCTGGCCTAACAGCTTGAAGTTCCATCTTTGCCGAGCACCTTGCCAATACTTGTCACCTCTTCCTCGTCCATTAGGATTGACAGCCGCTGGAGTTCTTTGCTTCTTTTTGACATCAGTCCCAACGCCTTACAAGATAAAATTACCTAATGTGGATTTCCTCCTTTACGTAAACCGAATGTGATGAACGATCGAAACCGTGACTGGGTTAACACGAGCAAAAAAATAAGGAGAAAATAAACCGTGCTTTCTTAACCATTTTTGTAAGCTTTGAATGCATTAGGGTGCTCGCATACTTTCCCTTCTTTACATTTCGTCCGTTAAGGTGATAATCTGTCTTCTGGTCAAACTAGCTTAACAAGCCGGACTCCACTCTTGATTGCCCGCTTGTTCATCGAAACTAACTCTGCCCGTGAAAATCTGTGTGAGCCCCTGGCTCATTTACACCTTCAAGAGGAGAGAATAAAGTATTTGCACTAAAAAGCACGCGCTCATCGACTGGCATTTGAAATCAGACTGCTGCACATGTCACGTTACCGCAAACAGCCCATTAATTCGTGATCGCGCATCTAAATGTAACACGATTGCATCCAGTTCTTCTGTTTTCGCCACATATAAGTTTGAAACCCACCAGCAGATTGTTGAACAGCGGTCCTCAGGCCTCCACCGAACACCAAACCCCACATGCCCGACTTGAGTGAATTTACAACCAATCGATAGAGTTGATTGGGTTGAGAATTGGACCATGCAAGAGCAAGCAGACTCAAGTATACGGCAACACACGACTCTGCCAACAGAATCCGCAGCTTGGTGCTGTTATCTTTCTGTTCAGTGGCCAGCAGCGAGAGGAGCAAGCGAACACCTGGCCACTTGGAAGGAGCACCGGTAAGCGCTGCTGGTTTGTTTGCATCCGATGAGCTGCTTTTCTCTGCAAAGAACCACCATTAAAGTATTTAGGAAATAATGAGGTGTTTCTAAGATATCGTAAGTATATCACAACCAGTACCTGTGGCAGGCTTTGACCCACTCGAAGAATTCCCTTCCTGAGTCATGCCGGTTAAACTTTGATAGATGCAGTCTGACAAGGTTCCTGTTAGGTTATGCAGCACATTTGCCAAGCGAATCGGATGGCTGGGGGATGGTGGACCAGGCAAACTGTGCAAAACAAAGTGTTGAGGATGAAATAACAGATTGTTTCAGCATAAGATTCCTTAGTTAGGTTCGTCAACGTACGTATGAAGGGGCACGAGATGACATGATATTACCGGAAGCACAATGAGACATGAAATAACGTGAAGTGACATGAAATGACAGGCCGTGACTTGAAGTGAAACAAAAGGAATTATGAACACAAATCAATATCACCTGAACACAAATCGAAGAATATCCTGCGTGAGAGATTGTAAGAATCCTAGAGGGCTGGCCAGAAACGAGGAAGCAGATACTGAGGCCAGGATGAGAGGTGGAACAGAAGGTCCTGCTGATGGTACACGCAGGGGAGATACCAAGGAATGCATCTGCTCCACCTCATGAAGGAGAAGTAGAAGTTCCATATTCATTGCTAAATAGAAAAGAACAACACACATCTTTGAACACCTCCCATTCCATTAAATTTGGCAATAATGTCTGATTGAATTGTGCTCATCTTTCGTCAACAAAACACAGTTTGGAGCTTTACGACAAACGCGATAAACTACGTTAACTCTTCAGTAACCTGGTGTTTTTTTGTGCCACCACAACGTAGGTCTAATTTCAGCCTTATTGGACTAAAGCTGATAAAATATTTAGTTTTCTTGATCATACTTTACAGTTGAAGCCATTAAAACGAAATGAGAAGCTTCTTTGATTCTAGATAAGTCTGTCCAAAATCAAAACGCTTAGCGTCTCCCTGCTTTTTACAGGGGTCTGTTGCCAAACGTTTAAGTTCAACATTATGAAAATATGTTACCTGCTAGATCTCCGCCGCTAGCTCCGTGAAGCGAACAATAGTTCAGTAAAATTGTGAGAAGTTTCTGGTTCTTTTTCAGCCACTGAATATGCTTGGCTGAGCGATCGATTTTTAACGCAATGTAATTTTTATCTACCGCACTTCCCTCTTGCGATTCGTCTGCTGTTCAAACAAAATATCACTGATGATTAGTAGGATAAGAAGTAGTTTGGTATCTTGAACTCTTCCTTTGCATGCATCAAACTCCCTACAAATAGGCACACAACTGTGACAAGAAGAATCTTTCAGGCACACCATCGTCGTTCAATACAGTACAAGGTACACACATAGTAAACATTTTGTACTCATGTAATATAACAATACACATGGATAATCTGATCTTAAAGACTGTCTTATTTCAAATTATACCAATTTGTTATCATCACAGTTATCAAATAGCACACCATGCCATAATTAGTCACAAATTGACTTTTTTCTTCTTCATACAGGACGGTGAATCCAAACTCGTTTCCTGTTCAAACCTGTCTACAAGATATCAATTCACGATCCGACCACCGTCCATCCTCTGTATAATACGTAAAGGTAAAGGAGACAACACAACTCTATCGCAGAAAATAAAAGCGTTTCATACCTGATTGAATGTTAATTTCAACAGTGTCTTCCTCCTCATCTTCACTTTCCTCTGCAACAATACCATAGTCAGACATCTTATGTAGCACTCCGAGCTCTTTTTCTAACCACTTGATGAAAAACGGTCGCAAATCTTCATCAGCAATCTCGCAACTTGATGGCAAACCGTGTAGTTCGTTGATTAAGAGTTTAATAATTGCAGAAAACTTCATCTGTTGTGCAACTACGTCCAAATGTCGCGTCTCCTTAGGCTTGGAGGGAAGTTCATCATTATGTACCTTAGAATCACTTGCGGTGTTGTCTTTTTTATACTCAGAGTCTTCATTAGTTTCGTAACTATTGTTGGGGTAAGATGATTGGTTGGATTCTAAGCCGTTTACACCATCTAGCCCCAGTCCACCCAGCTTCTCGGACACAGGTTGACTCCAATCAAATCCATTTGAAAGGTCGTCAAGACCGTCACCACTCAATTTAGACGACACAGGTTTTGACCAATCAAAATCGTCGACACTTCCACCTCCTAGATCAGGCGCTAAAGGCTGACTCCAGTCAAAATCAGCCGCTGAATCGCCACCAAGCTTGGACGAGACTGGCTTACTCCAATCGAAGTCATCAGCTCTCCCATTCACGGCTGTATCAGCGCCACCGAAGGAAAAATCGCCGAGTGTTCCTGTGCTGATCATATCACCTGTCACATCGTCTGCCATGTTGCTAGTGTCCTCCAGGGGGGAATCACCTTCCGCAACAGTGCTGGCATCTCCCGCAGATATGTCAGTAGCTGGAAGCTCCATCAATACCTGCAGCGCTAAAGCGGGACATCCAGAATTCAAATGCGCGTGAGCAGTCTTGAAAAACAGTTGCCTCTCCATGGGCGTCAAAGGTTCGTCAAGTATTTCCTCTTTGCGGATGCTTCCCTGTCTGAGATAAAGGTTTCTCACACCTGATTTCATTTTGATCTTGTTGTCGTGTTCATACATGAATCGTCTTCTTTTAATCAGGGGATGTTTGCGCAGGTAGAGATAAAAATTGAAGACATCAGGATTACCGCTGGCGGCTAAAGAATTGCATTTTTTCTCCTGGGACTTGTGTCCTGTTGGTTCAAATATCAATGTTTCCAATGCTTGGTTGTAGTCTTTCAAGATCCAGTAAGCGATGCTTCTGAGGAATGGGTCTGAAATGTTCACAAAAAAAGAGCAAGCGATCTCAGGTTATACTGCAAACCAACAATCGCTTCAGACGAGAGAAAGAAGAGGGGGGGGGGGGGGGGGGGGGGGGGGGGGGCTTAAGACCCCTTCAAGGTTAGTACTTGAAACCTTGTAGCTATCACTTCCATAAGAAAAAGCCTAAATTTAGGTTTTTTTTTAATTTTTTTTTTAATTCATCCACACCACGGTAATTAACCACCATGAAAGATTTCGCTTACCCTGAGTTGGCTCATGCGCACTACCACCTTGACCTAGCAAACACTCCTTTAAGATGCGAGTGTAGAGGGCCCCCCCTGAAGCGTCTTCCTCATACAGCCGAGCGAGGACCATGGCTAGTTGAACGTCTTGCAATCGACTGATGCAAACCTGAAAAGTGGGAGCAGAAGCAATTTAAACATAGCTTAATGCCTCAAGAACGGCTTGAAAGGAACGCCTGTTTTAGTAACACTGCTTAATCCACGCTGATATTATTGATGTGTTTTGTTGTCTGTTCAAAGATTCACTTTTCCTTCACCGAATGAAAAACAAAAAGATATAAAGAAAAAGATGTAAATGACGCATCTAATCGTTTTCTTCTGAGTCTCTGACAAAGCCTTCGTGAAAAACTGGGATTATTTATTCAGTGAGAATGAAAGTTACATCTCCACACGACTGAATTTCTACAAAGTACCTGTATCGCATCCCACAAAGAGCCAGCCAAAAGGAAGAACGCTGCGGCGTGATCAAATCTCTGCTTTCCTAACAAAGAATAAGCATTCTTGAGAGCTGCCTTGCGCCATCTGTCTTGTGTAAAATCCCGAGCAAAAAACTGCGACATCTTCGTGTCTCTTACAGTTCTGAAAAATTAAAAAAAAAGGTATAAGAAAGGGTTCAAGTTTGTTTTAAAAAACTTCAGCTATGTTGATCAACAAAGGAAAAAGTCCACGTTCAAAACAGAAGTTCATTAGCAGAGAAAGTGGGAGAAAATTAAAATCTAAATTACCGATAAGCAATCGAAGTCATGACCTTTGTGATTAACGGGAAATATTGGATGAACTTAAGATCAATCAGTCAGGCCTGGAAAGATCTCCATGTTCTGTATTTTGTGATGAAATTGAGAAAGGTAGTTTTGAAATAAACATTGCGTTTAAATGACCGGAAATTTAAACAACCTGCACGAAACCTGATACACAAACGGACAAACTACTCATAAATTTCAACAATAAGCGAGAACAAACCTGTACAACCCACAGATTACATTCTTTTTCTTCATGGCCAGGTAAAACAGAGCACAGTCAATGGGATCTTGGTTCTTTGAAAACTGCGCTTTAGCAGTCTGCAGGGGCAAAGATTGGTTACACAAACTAAATCGTTAACCACATCAAAGATTTAAGGGTTAAATACTGCATTTTGGTCAAACACTACAAACACCCCCTTTACCCCAAAATAAGCAACCCTTCAATAGCAGTACATCTCAGTATTTCAAGTGAGCAGTCTTAAAAATGTAAAACTGGAACGCAAAAAGCTCTGGTAGTATATGAGTGGAGAGTTCCAGGACGACTTAAAAGATTTTTAATGGCCCATTAATGATAAACATTCGGAATGTGGCGAAATCATTAAATAACCACGTCATAAACCACGCCGCATTCGGAATGTGGTGGTTTACTTTCAACCTTCTCTACAAGCCCTCTCAGGTTTTTGTTGGACTGCGCACCAAATGGGTCTCACGTTGAGGTGTACACAAAGGAAAACTTTCATAATACAGAGCTGGATTTATTTGTTAACTTCTCTACAAGCCTTCTCAGGTTTTTGTTGGACTGCGCACCGAAAGAGTTTCATGTTGAAGCGTACACAAAGGAGCAGATTAGTCATACGGTGCAGGATTAATTTGTAACCTTCTCTATAGTGTAGTAGTTTTTTTTGTTACCTTCTCTATCAGCCTTCTCAGCGTATCATTGCTCCTCACCCACCACCCAATGCCGTAACGTCTCAGTTCCGACCAAGTGGCCTCACCTCTCAGCACGGGAGGAACCATGGCTAATAATTCCTCCTCGGATTCAGAATGAAACGCCCATCCGTAATATGATGATGACAAGCCCTGCAAGAATTTAACTCTTGACATACTCTCTTAACAAAGGAAGTCTTTGACAATTCATAGCAATTAAACGTATTTAAGAAGGTAGTTCGTAGTGGAACATTAATCGCAGCCTTAACCCTGACCCCAAGCCCACTCACGAGGAAACTTGAGAATTTCCCTCCCCACTCGAGGGTAACACAATAAAGTCTTGAAATTAAAATTGGTCTGATGAAACAACAACGAGAGAGATAGGGAAATCAAGTATGAGGAGAGAGATTGCTGTCGGCATGAGAGAGGTGAGTGCCTACAAAGATGAAACAGGAGTGTTGACTGTCTGAAGATGAAAGGTAAACGTCGGCACAGCATAAGGAGGCCAAGTGAATGCGTTCATAGGAAACGGGAATATTTGCAAAAAGGGTGGGGTGACTGCACAAGGGAGGAGAATGTCAAGAGGTGACGTTTTTCTCTGATTTGGGAAGTGATCATCCACTCGGAGAAGGTGCATTTCTGCCAGAGAAAGACATGTCCCATAAGCGAGTTGGACTGTAAGATAAACAATAAACTTTACCCTTTCCTCCAGCACTGCCCTGTGTTTAGGAGGCAGTGACCTCATCAGGCAGGTATGATGTCTCATGGCAAGTAAAAAGCGCAACCCACACTCATCCACAGCATCTCCGCCACTCCCTGCTGTTGCTCCAATGCTTCCTGTTGTAGCGTATCCACCTCCGCCTCCACCGGGACCTCCCATCAGACCACCTACGCTGCTGTAACTTTCCTCTGCAAAGAAAAATAAACTTTAGTAACAGGCTACAACACGGTTTGTAGACCTTAAAGAATTGAGACTACAATTTCAAGATCGTCTTTTCTAATCTCTGTCAATCCTTGTTCAATCGTCCTGGAACTATTCTTAGCCCTTTTCTGTTTGTCAACTCACTCCTTTATCTGTGGTTTCACGCTATTTGACCCTGACTAGCTTCTAATTTCTCCTCACAATTTATCCCCCGAATCACACATTAAGGTCAAAGGAGTAAAGAACTTGATCACCAACTAAAGAAGTTCTTGATTGTTAAACAAATACTCCTTGTCAGCGTCTTAGAGAGTATAATCAGGACAGGATGGAGAATATGCATACAGAGGGTGTAGAAGCATTTAAGACGATACTCTCTGATCCTCGATATTACTTGAATTGTTGTCGTTTAAAACCGGCTCACAAAGTAATGTTGTGGCTATATTTCAACAAGAATTCGACAATAAAACATTTTGAGGTACCCTCTTTCTTCGCAAACTTCACTCCTCTTTCAATTGAACCAGGACTTTCCTCCAAGTCGAGCTTGGTTGAGGCAAAGGTATCTGCCAGAGCCAACAGTTCCAGTTGTTCAATGCTGGTCAAGCCGGGAAGAGGTTTCCTGCTTAGCTGATGGGAAAGCAACTGAGCCTGGAAAAGACGAATTCAAAGTACACTGAAACATGAGCTAAGAAATGCTACATCAAATATACGAATCATTGGACCGTGGAAATGTAAAGGGTTGTATACCATTTACACTCGATGGCATTTTTCCCGGAAATCATCGACGGAGAAGACGTAAAACCATTTTCATCCTCCAAGGAGACGTCACACATTGCTTCCAATTAATATTTACTATAACTCCTTTAAGGCGCCTGATTGAGGACCTTCACTACTGCCATACGTAATTTAAAAAATACATTCTCTCTTTAATTAAAAAGTATTAACATAGGGTTTACGAGGCTATTTAAGCTACCATATATGTTCATTTGACTGAAACAGTCTGTTTTACAAGGCTCGATGTGTCATGCAAACCTTACTCGGTGGATTTAAAAAACACAATACCAATTCATGCAACAAGACGGAAAGGCGAGGAATCAAATCCACTTTCGGCGCGCGAACTGGTGTTGAGACAATCTAAAGGCGTGACGATGTTGTCAACCTTCTACACGCGCTGCTGTTGGGATCTCCCTACGTTACTGCGAAATCTCTACTGCTCTGCGACGGAAAACCTAGTAGTTACCGACCTGTGCCAAGCCGAAGTGCACCGGACTACCAGCCTGTGCCACATGAGTTGGGCTGCTCTTGGCTCTCTTTTTATCTAAGAATCTGTTGTCTTCATCGTCGGATTCAAAACTGGAGCCATAACGCGATAACTCAAACAGGGCACTGTAGTCTGTTTCATCAGCGGATGTTCCTTGTGTTCCATCTACTGAATCAGCTAGGGAAACAGACAGAACTGTATTTTTACGAAACTACGACATAAAAGCATTCAAATCCATGGGTACGCCAGTAGTTGAAAGCCAAACTCTTACAGAACCAAGTTATGATTAATTTCGTAAATATGAAATTTTGAAAAAAACTTTTCCTGGAAATACTTAGAACTACAAGACAAGCAACAGTGATGTCCGAGCATTGCAAAGGACAATTGTCAGGCCACTGATTTCCAAACTTAAAGTATACTCCATTCTCATCTTCTCTGATTTCACCCATTTATTCAGTTTGAGTTGTCCTAAGTCTAAACAGTAAACATCCGTTCACATAAAGTACAGATCAACAAAAAGTACCAATGCTGATATTGGATAAAAGTATGTAAACTAATCCCTTAAAACTGATAAAGTGAAATTATCATCACTCATGCGATCAAATGTAATTCCGGTGACAGGACTGCTTGACATTCGAAGAAAATCGATATTACGTGACATGCCAAACTAATATGAATACCTGCTGTAGCCGATCCACTGCCACTAGTGTCTTTATCAGCTGCAAGCAGAGCATACATTGGTAATGGCGGAACACAAAGTGCTCGTTCTTTTTCGTCGGGCACCAGTCCCTCTAGGTCTGGTTCGCTTGAGCTTGACACGTTTCCAATGCTCTTCATGCTACTCATGCTGCTAAGACGTGGCCTACTGTGCGCTGATTGGACGACAGCTTTAGTGGCGGCTTCCATGGCCTCACGGCCAGCAACACAGTACACCTACGATAGAGGAAAGCAGCTGTGATTCACTGAACAGGGGCTTGACCAGATCACAAAGGGCACCAATCTCATCGTTGGCAAAAGTCGTCCATTTTTTTTTGCTACAAATCCAAGATCACCCTGCCAAAATAGGAACTCTCAATTTCTTGATGAGCGAGAAAATTTATTTTGTACCTTTAAAAACGTTTGTGCCACAACATTGAATTATTATTTGGTATATAGTAGGTACTGATTATTTTAAACAAGGTGATTTACCTAAATGCTGATGCGGAAGAAATTGTTTAATTCAGTTGACGTAGTTAAAGTTCTTAGCGTAGTTACAGGAAAATTTTTGGCGGACTCTAACTAGTGGGGTTGGCGGTGTCTCCTTAGATTTCATGCTGAACTACAGTAACACACTATTTAATATAAATCATACCAAGTGATGTAATATCGCCCGGACTCTCCTTAATTTGCCAAAGTTCATGAGTTCCATGAGATGCTTGGGATGAAACTGAGGTAAAACAGGAGCTATAGTTCCGGCTCCCTCAAACAAACCAATTCCACCCCCTGGCGTTAGTGACAAGGGGACAAGCTTTCCTGACCCTCCCCTGGACACTTCGCTGACCTTCTGCAAGGTTACGGTAGGAGCAAAGGTCATGGTGTCCGAGGGGGAGAAGGTACCGTCTTTCATTACTCTCCATTGTGAATACACCTGCATTTCGGTGCCCAGGCCTACCACAAGGACTCCATTGCGTATCCACGAGAGTGCTCTTGTTAGTAGCTGCCATTTGTTCTCTGACGTCAAATGAACACTGTGAAGAAGCAGCCATGTTTCCTTTCCAGTGGACGTACTCTCCCCTCTCACAGTTGTATTGGCTATTCTTGACGCACACCCCAAAATAAAGGCTTCATTGCCGATACAAACAGTTAGAATGTACGTACTATCCTCGGCGGAAGTCCATTCTAGACGAATCTGTGAATTATCGGTGAGAAACTTGCAGTCGAGTTTCAGTGTGTCCTCCAGAATCCAGTCCATTCCTCCTGACGATTCATTCTCCCAGATACACACTGAATAGTCAAGCTTTTCTTTTTCCTGCTCTTCAGTGTTCCTGCAGAGCGTGGCAATCCTCCCTGTGTAGGCACAACTGAGCGATAACACCTCCCCAGGTGCATCCAGTCCTAACACACGGCTGTCTGAATGCTCCGTGGAATGAGCACATTTCCTGCCATCTGACAGCCATGAAGTCTCTTCCCACGTGAACCGACCCTCTGAAACAATTTCCCTGCATGACCAAAACCTCACCTTCCCATCTGAACACGACGACGTGAACAAATACCGCGCTGGACAAGTCGGATTTACCGCAGAGGACGACATCTTATCAGCAGCTCTGGTAGCTGTTTTAATTGTCGTTCCACTAGGAAGCGGAAGCTTCTGACGACAAACACACCTTGATACGATACTACTAGTCACGTGCCCTGATTGTGGCAAGTTTAGGGGACTCGCACTCCTGTTGGAAGCGCTACTGTTGCTTCTACTTAAAGGCTGTATAACCTCTGGGTAGGTCGATAGCGACTCCAAGCCTGATCCTTTCAGACTCGTTTCTGGTTTGGTAGCAGTGACAGTGACCTGCCACATGTAAATTATAGACACAGTATCACTTTGCTCATCGTTGATGTTCTCAACACCGACCACGTAAAAAGTATCTTCAGATCTGTGCGAACTTTGTTGATGATCTTCCTCATTCTCACTACTCGGTTTCTCGTTAGAGGAAAAGAAACAAGAGGACTTTACGGAGCTCTCTGTGAAAACGTGCAGTAATAATGGCTCTCGTAGGACATCCTTAGAGTCAGCTAACGAACAAAGCTTCAGAATACAGCCAGGTGTTGCGCCAGATTGTCTACTGACTATTGACTCAATGAAGCACTCAACAGGAACTGAACTGCTGGGGCTTTCAAAATCTAATGAGTCTAAACTCCCTTCACTACCACTTGAATACAGAGTTGAACGTGTTCTGGTCTTGTTGCTTGATATATAACCTTGTAAAGTTCTGGCATCCAAGATCACTTGATAAAATCTGTAACAAGTCCCATCTAAGGCCAAAAAACACGCACAAGGAGCGACAGCATGGGGCGGAATCGATGTACTGCTGTCGAATGAGATCAGGGAGTGAGAGAAAAGGGTTGGAACCCAAGCTATGTTTAGAAAAGCATTTGGGCGAGAGGAGTTTACACGCGTGAGCTCCATGACTCCACCACTCTGCCGTAACGGTGACACGCTCTCCACCTTCCACACAATGAGTTCGTTGCAATGTAGCTTTCGAGTTTTGCTTTTGTCATCTATCATACTTGGTAACTCCACATTGTTCAAATTCTCTTCGCCCTTTCTCGCTTCCATTTCGTGACTTGACGTGGAAAGCATCAGGGGCAGCTCTGGATGAGCTAAGATGTTAGTGATGGGATATCTATGTCCACATCTGCGGGCATGATGAGAAACACTAACAACAGTAGAAAATGATGAGTTGTCAGCAAATGCAAGTTGCCAGAGGTTCAGAGCACCGTCTCTGTGCGTTGAAATCATGATAGCCGTAGGATGCGTCCCTCCTGTCAAATTACCAAAACTTGAACGGGAAATGTTGAGTCCCGTTCCGTTGGCTTTTGTTGCCGTCCGCTGACCTGCTAAGACTACGTCACTCTTGTTGACCATCACGTTCCTCAGAGCTCGGACTTTGTCTTCCCTCGGACAATAAACAATGAGCTTGTTCAATAAAGAGTTCGCATCTGCAGGGGGAAGAACATTGGGGATGCGTGATAAAAAGCTAACTTGAGGCTGTCTGTATGGTACACCATTCTGTACGTCAAGCCATTCCACAAGCCACACCAGAAGTGAACCATCTACGGGATGAACAGCGAGAAGTGTGTCAGGGCTGTTGTACCACTCGTGGAGAAGATTACCAATACATGAGGATACCACTGCGGCGTAAGTACTTGATTCCTCAACGTCACTAAGTGTGTCATCTTGGATGTGTTTTAAGTAATCTAAAGGAGTTCTTGGTCTCGGTGTGGAAGGGATCTTGATTTCTTTCGCCATCTCTGGTGCAGGGATTTCTTTCTTGACAGCTATTGAAAAGATAAAAATACCCACAGCTGTAAAAGAATTTCATATTTACCCCAAACCTTTGCAGATGCCTTCCTGAAAAGAATTAGAACGCGCGTCGCTTTGCTAAGGTTAGGCAAAACTCGATTCCTTGTGACTCTAGGAGAAGTCTTTTCTGTTCCATCAGAAAATTCAATAGGTTAGCACCTTTTGGGGCACTGGCTCTGGTCTGGCTTTTAAGCATATATCTCTTCATATTTTTGAACATTTTATGGCAAGAAATGGACTGGTCTATTTTGACAACCAACAGAACTCAAACTGCACTGTAAACAAAAAATGCTAATACATTAAAATAGGATCCTCCGCGTGGAGCCTTTATCCGTGAAAAGGTCGCTTGGGAGTTCACGCCTTAGGGAGATTATGGCAACTCTACCTAAAGTGTTATGTAGCTGATTCTTACGTTTGTAAGATTCTGGAAATTCCTCGTCACTCGGCACCAAGAGCTCTGCCTCACTGTCACTGTTGGAAGAGTCATCGCTAATGTCTATACTCTCCACTTCAAGAGCGAGAACTGGTGCGCCAAGACACGACTCAGCCGCCATGGTAAACTGAATTTCTTTGTTGTTCAACCAGTGAAGAACAAAACTACTGTGATTACCGCTTGAGATGGAATCAAGCGAGGACAGGATTGGAATATCATTCAGAGCATTCACCGCAACAGCAATGTGAAATTGCAAGGCTGATGGCAGTTGGTATCTCAGTAGAGGATCTTCTGCTGTGTCATCCTTGGCAACAGGCTTTTTCGGTTGCTGTGATAAATGCCACATGCACTTGTGATGATTCTTTGTGGGGTGGGAGGGTGAGGCATTGTGGTCACCTTGCTTGATGGACTCACACCAGATGCGGCAGACATTGTCAGTGCATGAAGTAAGAAGACAGTTGGCTACAGTTGAGCTAAAAGATGATAAGACCATAAAGAAACAAATTTGTTGATATTTAGACTTGGCAATTCTTCAGTGAAGTTAGCCGGTTTCTGGTAATTTTAAATTTGTACCCTAAAGTATTGACCTAAAAATGTCCGTCCAAGACCAGGAAAGCAACACACACGGTGAAAGACCAAGTAATGCATAAAATTAATATGGAATGTGGAATAATAATTTCAAATATAAAACTGAAAAACATTGTTTAATATTTGAAAATATTAACCTTTTTCTTCCTTTACCAACACCATTATACCAACCAGCATTTGCTAATAGTGATGAGAATAGAATTACCAATCAGGAAGGTCAGTGCAGTTTGACACCAAATTCTCTTAGCCATAAATAAGTTACAGGGAGGTATATAAAAACTGTAATTAAGGCAAGTTATCAATTGGATCTCAAGAGTCTAAGGGTAATATATCAAAATCTCACACACTCAAGAACTTGTTGGGGGTAAGAAGTAAAGAATGTTTACATACACAGGTATATATTTGCTGGTTTTTCTCCAAGAAATTCCTGTCACTGGTCCAGGATGAGCCAGATACACAAAAGTGTAATCTAAAACATCACTGTTCAGAAACTGTCCTCTTTCTTGCAGCTCTTCAGTCTCATATTGTGGATTGACTGCAAAGTGCAAAATGTAGAAGATTAAATAGTGCCACACAAATTTGCTGACTGGATGTAGTAAGAGAATAAGCTGCAGCAGTATCTTGTTTTGGAAACAAGATACATGGAGTGGTTAGCTTCATAGACCTGTTTCATTAAACAATTAACATAATTTCCAAAACGGAGCTATCAGAACAAACTTGGCTGCACCTCATGACACTGACCTTGGTTGTTGTCAAACCACACTTTGATAAGACGATCATGCTACAAAAAAAAATTTAAAGCAAAATTCAAAGAGAGATTTAGTTCTAAAAGCTTTTTTCATTTAACTCTTCTGGCCTTTTAACCATTGTTCATCTGGGAGTTACTAAAAGACAGCTCCTCTTTACAAATATCAACACATTTCAAAGCTGAAAGGTGATGAGAAGTGATGGCAAAGATATCAATTTCAGAATGTTGTCTGATTCAAAACCAAATTCTCAGGACTAAACTTAAAGGAAATATATGAAGAACTGCACAAAGACCTAATATTGAGATCTTGTGAGTGAATGGTTTTAGGGTCTTTATTGTCACAAAATTTCATGTAAATTACATTAAAACAGGAAAAGACCTGAACTGGAAGAAAAAAGACAATTTAAGACACACATATCAACATCTGTAAGGTCTTGACAAACTTCGACATAGACACACAGCATATCTTTGAGGTTTACCTTTCCAACTGAACAGAAATACTGGCCATCAGGAGAAAACTGCAGAAGGTGAACTGGAACAGAAGGCCTAAATCAAGAAGGCACAAAGATTACATTTTTATCAAACAGAGAGAATGTTTGTGTGAAAACAGATGAATTAATGACATCAGCAATGTCAATAGTGTAATGTTTGTAGATAGAAATAAGAGAGATGATAAGTTTTGAGGTCAGTAAAGAAATAGAGAATTATGTTTGTTTTGTCTTGTCACGAGCGTGGGACGAAAAAAAAAAAATTCTGAGTCCCCATGAGGAATTGCACCTCAGACCTTTGGATTCCACACCCCAATGCTCTACCACTGAGCCACAGAGACTCCATGGTGGGCGAGGTCTGTTACAAAGTTCATATGAAAAAGAAACTTGTTTGTACAGATATGAAACAACCAATGCACAGAAACATATTTGAAAACTAAGAGCTAATATAACATACTACATACTTGCATGTCCAAATACATGTCCAAAACACATTCTCCTCTAATAAGTTTCTCTGTTCATGGTAGTCTTCACAGCTCCACAGCTGAATAAAATCCCCTCCCACAAGTAGTCGTTTTCCTGGAAAAAAAAAACAGAGCAATGAGTGTTCCAACCTTGACATTGTTGACAAAAGTTCAATCTTTACACAAGGTTAATGTTTTTCCATTTCTATAGGAAAAAAAACCTGTGAACTATAATGTCAATAAATAAATAAAAACAACACCAGCCTCCTTGCAAACTCTTATTATTACCACTGCAACATGAGCATTTCTTGGCCCATGAGAAAGTCTGAGTACTAGAGGTAAGTTAGCCAGCAAAAGGACTGCTAAAGATCTGGCACTACTGGTAAAAATGAGTATTAGCACCAGACTAGCACTTGTCCAGAAGCACTAATAACAAGGAATACGTGATGGCTTAAATAACAATGACATAATAATAATAACATGTTCAACCAGGGTAAACCCTTCAGCTGAAACTGTTATAAATGGGTGCCCTGGGAGACTAAAAAATTAACAATTAGAGAAAAAATACCTGTAACACATGAACCAACGGAAAAATGTAAAAACTATTTACAATGTTGATGGATAAAAACCAAGAATTATATAACTATATTAAAAAAATCCAAAAGATTTTCCAGAACTCTGAAAAAAAAATAACATTAAGCTGTGTTTTAAAAATCACTATGGAGTCAACTTCCTTATGATGCAGTGGCAAGTTATTGAAAGTCTGGGCTCCAGTATAAAATGTTCCTTTCTTGGCAGATTATGTATGGACTTTAGGAATTAAAATACCTAAACCATTACGCCAAGTGGAATAAACATGCAAAGACTTGATAAAATAACTCTTAAAAAGATCTGGAGCAATGTGATGGAAACACTTAAAAACAAAAGTTAAATTGTGCATAGTAGAACACCCCTTAAGGGACTTCCAACTTAGTTGCCATAACAGTTGATGGCAACTAAGACTACTTTCCTTCAGAATGATTCTTGCAGCCCTTGCTTGATGTCATTCTTAAGATTAATAATAATAATAATAATGATGACTATAGTATCTAAACACAGTTGAAATACCTTCTCTGTTCCATGACAAACAAGTAATCCTAAAGTTTAGGCAAAGTTCTGCAGATTTTTCCCAATGAAAAGGAAAGCCCTAAAAAACAAGCAAAAGTGCAAATTCATAGTTTTAAAAACTTCAACCTTAATCGATTAAATCAAACTTAAGAAATACAGTAAGTATATATACTGACATACATGGTTGTTACCAGCTGTTGCTGATTTGGCATCAAATATGATAACCTGTTTTCCATAAGATGCTGCAATCTGTTAAAAAATAATGATAATTTGTCTCAGATTTAATTGTGCAGACATCCTTCATATTCCTATGGTGCACATAAATCAAGTGTGTGCACTCCTTAAAGTGTTGTAGAAAAAAATTCTCTTTAAACAACACTTATACCACTGATAAAGCTAGAGTTACTCTCTGCTAAGCCTCCCTAAGCCTAAATAGAGCTTCTTTCATGCTCTCCAAACTTTTTACATGCTTCATATCTCCAGGGCATGCTGATGCAAGGCTATGATTGGCTGTTGTAATTTCTTTGATTTTTGTTTTACAACACTCATTTGAAAAGCACTCTACTGTAACGCTGCTTTGATTTCATTGCACAAATGTACCTTTCCATCAGAATCACAGCAGTCAATACAGCTAACTTCTTTATAACCATACAGTGAACCAGGAATAATCTGCACTCGAGTGAAGCCACTCAACAGGATAACAACATCACAGCCAGATGCATAGGCCTTGGAAAACAAAGAATACCAAATACAAAGCAAACAAACGTATGTCAGACTATAATCTCAATTCAGTGTTCATGGAATATATTTCTGGAATATATTTCACGTTGATAAAGAGCATAAAAAAATTTGCTTTAGGCTTCTGTGATTAGCCTGAATTTCTACAATATAGTTTAAGACCTGATAGCATTTTCAAAGCTTACTGTAACAAAAAGAAAAGTTTTAAAATGATATATATCGATCTCTAGAGTCATTTAGTTACTGGGCTAAAAATCAATTTATAAGCCAATTTACGAGGTATTTCTTATGATTGAAGGCGAAATAAACATTGTCATTCATTCATAGTGGTACCATTATTGATATGTTGACATCTGCCTTCCTCTGAATTCATTATTTTCTGATCAAAACCGTAAACCAGTAATTAAATTATTCAGCTCGAACTGTACCGTGAAAGGGTGATCATCTACACTACCAACGGCGATTGCAGCCTTGTCGTCGAATGTATTCGTCGCCCCTGTTAATACCTGATGAAGTTTCATTATCAAAAGATAGAATCATGATCATGTTTTGGAAAGAGAACGACAAAAACTCTAGTTCGCAACACAGAAAACGCCGCCATTACTTGACGTGAATTTGTCTCAACTAGTATCGAGAAATCCGCTGGTTGATCATTGCAGAGTCACATTGCTGGTCAGTGGTTAATCCCATTAGGGAAAATAAAATGGCGGACTTGGATGATGGTGAAGACGGGAACGATTTTTTCCGCAGTTTTGCCGATGTTCCCTTGAATCCTCCGGAGAAAAGAGATATGTGTTCGAGGTGTAAGTAAGTAAACTTTGGTCATGTTTACTTGTTGTTATTTCCGCTGTCATTGCTGTGAAGATTGACATTCTAATAAAGCAGATAGATGAGTAAAGACTGTGTACAAATGTCCAGCATATACATACACACACACACGCACACACTCACATATATATATAAGTAACAATATTAACTTCTATTTATATATGTATATATATAAATTAATTTTGTTTTTGTAAGATGTCATACAGGTTAAATACATGATTTCCTCGGATTCTTAAAAATTTTCTTTCGTTTTATAGGAGACCACTTGCAGTGTGTCTATGCGCTCATTTTCCTTCTCATTTTCTTCAAATATCGACTACGATTCACGTGTTGCAACATCCTCGTGAGGTTTGTCCTATTAGATTTACATTGTAAATGTTTCTTTGTTATCCAGAGTTATTTGGGGAAGGAGGGGGTGAGTAAAACGGCTGCTTACCAACGATCTTACACCACTGTTAATATTTTTTAGTCAAATTTGTATGGCCTATTCATATTCATAGCTTCTTATTCCATGATCAGTGGCCACTCCATAAGCAAAATTAATGAAACCCTTAGAAATGCACCTCCAGAAAATTTAGAAAATGGGTATTTTAAAAATGTTACCTTGACATATGATGCAGTTTAAAAATTGCCATCCTCATTATTATCATTATCATCATAAGGGCTGTCAGTAAGTTTTTAAGCAGCCATTACATTGGAGATATCACTGTTAACAGTGTAACAGAGTCATAGCAATCAACATCCTCACCAGTAGCATTTACATGTGGTGAGCTCAGTTATAACAAATGTTTCAGGTTATGGCCCGCCTTGAAAGCCCTAATCAGAATCATCCTTACTGGGAGTCATAGTTGTCACCAGGTTACTATTACTTAAAATGATGTTATTTGAACATGAACATCAGGATCCTATAGCACAGGCTTTAGACAAATGGTCTGAAGCAAAACATCAGAATGTGCATCAACAGAAATACAGGGGAGGGAGATGTCAAAAATGGTACTGTGCATGGTTTCCTAACTTGCTGCTATGATGATTGAATAAAGGACTCTTCGCTTTCTAGGAATCTAGGCTTTTGACAACTGTCCCACTCCTGGAGGCTTGTTTGCCTCCAGATAAAATTGTCATCAGACGTGGGAGAAGATTCCACAAAAATGATTGGCCAGATCTCCATGAATTACTCAACAAACCAACTACACTCCTTTTATATCCAGGACCTACAGGTTGGCACAATTATCTTATAATTAAACCTTTTGCACCCAAAATCAATATGTCATTGTCTGCTGTACACTTTGTGGTAAAATCAAACCCTATCTCTGTGCTGTTTTTTTTCTCATCACCTTTCCGCCTACTCAACAATGAAACTTGATATTGATGGGAGAAGACTCTTTTTGGTCACTGACAGAAGGGAAAGAGTTAATTACTTTGTTGTATCCCTCTCTTGTGTAGGAAGCAGTGGCCTTGGACTGCAGATCAAATGATCAAAGTTAGCTTTAAGTACAGGGTCATGTTATTGTGTTGGCAGACAAGACACTGTAGTCTTACAAGGTCCCTCTCCACTCAGGAGAATAAACTGGCATTGACACACTGTATTACACACTGGATACCAGGCTCACCTCATCCTTTATATTATATAGCTTGACCACATTTTTGTTTTGAATTTTCATCAAACTGACCATATCTCTTTACTTTCAGCTGAAAATATAAAAACACTGGGTGAACCTCCCTTAGGAGAAAATTATGATATTATTGTCCTTGATGGAACATGGAGACAAGCCAAGGATATTTTTCATAACAATCCATTTTTATGTCAAGCTAGACAGGTATGTTCATAAGTGTCAAAATGCCTTTTGAATTTTGATATTGTAAATTGAAGTACTGCAAATTAGATGTAATATTTGTGGTGTTCTTGAATTAATTCAAGGTGCAATTAGAGCATGACCACATCAGTGAATATGTGATCAGAACCCAGCCTAACAGTAAAAGTTTATGTACAGTTGAAGCCATCGCTTTGTCATTATCTATTCTGGAGAAAAATGAGGAAATTGCAGAGGTGAGGCATGATGTATTAATAACTTCATTGTTTTATGACCAAAGTACTTGACATAGTCTTATTGTTGTGCTATTATTATTGTTGTGCCATTATTATTGTTGTGCTATTAAGTTGATGTAAGTAGTAGCAAATTGTTAGAATACATCAAACATTGTCTTCCTAAGTTGTCCAGGATCAATATCAGTATCTGGGCAACTGTCCACCTACCCCTCCCCTAGCCCAACAATAACCCTAACTTGCTATCAATTGACTGTTGTAGGGTTAGGGGAGGGGTAGGTGGGCAGTTACCCAGATACTGATATTGATCTATTGTCCCTAAGAAACAAACATACTTTAAGACTGAGGCAACAGCCAGATTGTTTCAACCATGGAACGTTGAACCCTTTGATCCCCAAGAGTGACTAACATCTGATTTCTCCTTACAATATCACCCCCTGAATCAAATTTCAAGGTCATGAGAATAAAGGAAATGATCACCAACCAAAGAAGCCCTTGATTGTTTCACAAATTCTCTTTGTTAGCTCCTGAGGTAATGTAAAGAAAACAGAATGGCAAATGTGCATGATGACATGATGATGTTAGGGTGTAACAGGTTAAGATTTGATTATTAAAAAATAGGTGCAACAACTTCAGCTCTGAACCTACTAATGATCCAGCTTACCGTAAAGTCTCTGTTGCTCGGTGGTAGAGCATCAGAGCGCCTAAGCGGAAGATCTGAGGTTCGATTCCTCATAGGAACTCAGAATTTTTTCTCTGTCCTACGCCCGTGATAAGACGAAAAGACATCTCTCTTCATTTCATTTCCGAGCTTATAACTTTACCGTCTTTCTGATTCCACTAACTACAGCGTTGAATGTTTCTAGTTTGCAGCGTAATGTCTGTAAGATACTCTCAGATTACGGTTGAAAACGAACAATTCCTGTGGTTTTTTTTCCTCAGATTTTAATTCGACCTTTGAGGGCATTGTGTAAAATACAGTTGGAGCATGGTGCTGTGGTACATTTCAATAAGGAAAATGAAGACGAAATCATGTTAAGAGCGTAAGTGGAAAATCTTGTAATGAAGAAGTGAAACTTGTGTTAACATCAAACTGACAATTTATTTCGTTTCCCGATGTTATTCTTGTGAAAATATAGCGTGGAAATCGATTTGCATCTTACTTTTTCTCTTTGAAATCCTTTTTCAGTAAAAGACAAGAACGAAGTCATAGAAAGAAAATGGGTGGATTGAGTGAAAAGGAAAGATGACAAGATATAAGAATAACGTCCAAGGAGAAACTCGTGATTGACTATTTAGCGTGGGTTTTTACCTTCCTTTTTAACCTTCATTTTACCTAACTGGCGCTATCGCAGAGCTTCTGGTTTGGATACCGGTTTACAGAATTTGTCCAAGATAAGAAGAGGTAGACACGGGAAAACTTCGGAGTCCTAACTCATTTGCTTTGTGGAAACAGTTTTGTGAATCTGACTGTTCATATGTTTTTAAGATAATTTGTTTTTATCAACTTAGTTTATAAAGTAGCTTGGCCTTCGTAAAGAGTTTCTAAAGCTAAGGGTTTGAGCGTGAGCCCCCGTCACTTTGTTCATGTGCTTTGTTCATGGTGCGCTACAAGATTTCAGTACAGGATATGATAATGTAGCATGCACAGGCAAAACTTTGTCCCTTTTTATTTAAGTATCTCTTTGTGCACATGGTTATCATTGAACCCAAAACTGTCGCACTGCGTTCACCAAGACGTGGCCACTCTTATGCCTTTTTTAGCTCTTCTTTGCCCCTAGGCAGAATTTTTCTGTAAATAAAACTGAAGAATACTTTAACGTGCTTACATTTTTTATTACTTCTAGTTACACAGCTTTCTTATTTGTTTTGTGTTTATTTAGAGCGTTTTATTTTAGCAAAATTATAACTTATTCAATATTTACCCCCTGTCAAACCCCTGAAAGCGAACAAGATAAGCCTTGTTTACACTAGCTTGTCGATAACCAATACCCGAGCACAGTTCAAAAGCAGTCCGTTTGACCAGGACTGTTGTCAGTGTAAAAGCAAACGTATTTCCTCAGGCGCGACCCGTTAGCGTTCATACTTCAGCAATTTGCAATTGAGTGTCCAAAGTAATCTAGGTTTGCTTTGGTTTCACTTAACCTTTCTCTGTGACTGATCCTGAAAACTCGACCATCCCTTTAACCAATCAGATGTATAACTAAAAACAATCGCGATTTAGTCATTTGCGTTTTCCCGCGTTTCAAACAATTTGCTCGTTTTCACTTTGATTTCTCATTGGCTAATTCCAATTTAAATCTTTGTTCTGATTGGTCGCTGGGATTACTTTGGTTGTCAATTCAAAACTGCTATGTTAATCGGTAATAGCTTTAGCCCTGGCATTATGAGCCTTGGCAATGAGTTCTGAGGTCTTTATGATTCCTTTACTGACTCCAACTCCAATTAAACTCCCAAAGAAACCGCCAACCATGGCCCCTACTACGGGCACCGGAATGAGTACTTGCCCTACAATGGTTCCAGTAGTTCCTCCGATAAACTGGCAACCCGAGTCACACAACTTTCGTCTTACAGTAGACTTAAACTGCGAGTTTGTTATCAAGCCTTTATCACGCTGCATTTTCGAACGCGTCACACTTCCGGCGGTTAGAGCGATGTCGACCAAAACTGATATTGCTATACCTGCCGCAGCTTGCCCCAGGGCCATCGCAGCCGTTTCTATGCCAACGGTAGCCGTGCTTTCGGCGGCTGTTGACGTTACTACGATGGCTGTCTCAGTGATGACTTCCTTGACAGTTATTGCATTCTCCGAAGATTCACCGCTGGCCATCATAATATGAGCGCTGATGTCGAGAATCTCGTCAATAGCTCGGAAAATTCCTTCAATCTTAGCTTGCCTTTCTTTGACGGAGAATGGAATATTGAAAAAAGCAACGTGGAAAAGATCAGCTATGTACCCAATGATTAACTCTTCATCAATTTCCAGTGTAATTATCGGCTTAGAAAATTTTTGGGCTAGAACCCAAACTTCCAAAGTTGTTCCCTCGAAAATCTCCGAAACTGGACGTGGAAAACTAGCCAACGATAGCATATCTAACCGCACTTTTATCAATATATTATCTTCGTCTTGGTAGATATTTCGAAAGGCATTCGATCTTTCGCAGTTTCGTAACCAAATGAAGACCGGATAATGAGGTCCAAATTTTAATCTGTCGCTGTTGCTTGTGCGTTGCATAACGTGGTCAGAAATCAAGGTTAGCGCCATTGAAATTCGGTTGCGGTTTACATGAGTAAAGCTTCGAAAAGAATTTTCGTGAAAAGGGTCGAAAGATTGGTCAGTGTTTTCCACTGGTGGAACAAGTTCCGCTGTGTCCTCATCGAAACCGATGTCGCACTGTCGTGATATACGTTGCAGCATCCATTTGTTGCATGTTTTATATTCGTAAACCATAACACATCGTCTGCATAACCTAATAACTGCAAACTCATCTTCCTTTTCAGCTTCGACCCGATCAAGACTTACACCAGCATCGACAGGCGCTGAGTCCCGTAACAGCGAAAAATCTTCTTTTTTCTTTTTCAAGAATGCTATCACTGAGTTAACCACTTTCTTCATACAAAGCAGCTTTCTCCTTCAACGGAGTTTATCCTAACGAGCTAAGATTGTATTGTCATGCTGAAGAAAGCATCGGCGTGATTCTACGGTTGCACCTGCTCCGGGGGCTACACTGAACCTCGGGAAATTTCAAGCCATTGTTTTCTGCGGATGAATAAAAACATGCCAGTGAAACAATTGGAGAAATGCTTCGCTATTTATGCGTGTAAGGCGTATAGAAGACCGAAAACACCACAACATTAGCATAGGGGAAAATCTGTTTGGCTGGCCGATAGATTTCACGATAAATTACGCATTTAAAATTGATGAAGTTTGTATCGATAGTAAAACGAGTTTTTTCCTTATTAAATTTTTATAACTCGTCGGTGAGTATAGTTCTATAAATTTCGAAAAGATTTTTCTTAGGCCAGTTTGCGAGCAGTTCTTGCTGCGAAGTAATGTTCGTACAAATATTAACGGAAATAAAACAGAAATGTTTGCATAGGGAAATGGCTCGATGAAAAATATTTTTCTTGTTTCCTAAATTACTATGACGATATAAGAACTGTAAACATTGTTATTAGATCTGCGCTCGTCTTGAAGACGAATTACAGTTAAATTTTTAAACGATTTCAGATGGGCAGATCGTATTTTTATTCTTCATTTCATATCTGGGTCAACTCCCGGTGCAACCGCCCAATTTGGCGAGCCACGTTGTAAATTGAAAGAGAATTTAAAATCAGATCTTTCTTGAATACTGAATTAACCTTTGTCAGCTCTAATGAAGAAAACATTAGGTTTTTTCTTGTTCGTGGGCGAGAGATTGAAATAGATTATTCACTTTTCTGTTCAGCCTAATTGTTTTTGGTGCAACCTCTATTTTTATTTTACAGCTTATTGAATGTCGGGAAATGTGTTTTAAAACATTCGTCTTTAAATTTTAATCACTAACAGATATATTTTTTGGACTGGTAACCCAACCAAGTGCCGCTCAACGTCAATCAAATACTCTCTCCTTTTAATCACGTTCGACCTCTGCTCAAGTGTATTCGGACCGTGCCGAAATATTTTGATATTTAAAGCAGATAGGGTTTTCAGGTGAATGTCACCTTAGACTCAAGATGCTAATGAGAAATATTTTAAAGCGAAAAAAATATATGTGACATCGTTAAAAAAAAAAATAGGTAAACATGAATTTTGAGTTTTGAAATTTGGTTAACTATTTGGCAAAATAGGTTTGTTGATTCCTTTCATTGCCAATATGCTTCACAAAGTTCAGACTGTTTGTGTGAGAGTATAAGTAGAGGCGGAGTAAGAAAAAATATTTCTCAGGAAATCAATCAAACCGCAAGATAATTTGAAAGATCAGTTATTCATATTTTCCCAATCTTATCGTTTTTGAAGAAGGTTCCTTCATTAGAGCAATTAATTGGTAGATATCAGAAAGAAAGATTCGCATTCGGTATCAATTTCCTATCCTCTCGCTTTTTACAAGAAGTAAAACTTGCGCATTTGTTTCTTTTAAGGCTTTTTTGTGTGTGTCAGCATAATTATTTTTTCGCTGACATTGCTTTCTATTTGCATGTCAAGACTTGCGCATCACACTACTAGGTAATCTTCATGAATAAATTAAGCATGGTTGCTTTTTAAAAGTGTCTAGCTTTTTTAGGGGCTATTACGTCTATGCTCTCCGTATCTTGGTAAATTAAAACATTAAAAAAAGTAACAACTAAAAGCTTTCCTAGACAATTCGCTTAAAATGAGAGGCGGAAAACCGAACTGATGAAGGCTCGAATCGCTGTTGCATTTTTCGTCTGTCTGCCTTTCACTTGGACAACAGTTTAACTCACCACTACTGTTTCCTCGACAACTGAAAAATCCCACAGGAATCTTTACCTCAAGAAAAAGTTGGCTCATACTTTTCAGTTTTGTAGATATCGTAGAAACGACACTTGTTGTCGCCGATCTTTTATTTGATACATTTAAAAAGTTTTTCCATAAATCTCTCTTTTAACTTATGCGTTAGAATTATCGTTTCTCTTTCTTTTGACTCACCCCTCCCCCCTAAATGCTGGCCTGCGGATTCAAGCCCTCCGCCCTGCCAGTCGGTGGCCCGGGTTTTTAAAACACCTCGGCTGCACTTTGTACATAGTTTACTAGTTACCCTCCTACTAGTAAGAAATTTTCTGAACCACTCCATGCCTGACTGATCGTCTCTGTTTTTATACTGTGCGGGTCGCAATAAGAACTACCCAGGTTCCTGGTAAATTTTTCACCTATATACAGCAGCCAATCCACAGGGAGGGTGT